CTCTTTCCTTTGCATATTGATTTTGAAAGAGACATATAATTGGCATCAGGAAGCCTTTGGTATTTGTCTTCATGAGGCCTCACAGAGTTTCATTACTTTACTAAATTATAATAAGCTAGTGTTTAATCTCCAGTCTTAAAAGACCAAAAACTCAGTTTTTTCAGTAGTGTCATGATTGTTTGGGCTCAGAAAAATCAACTAACTTATGGTTAGGATGTCTAAGAGACTAATTTTATGCAAAATTCTAATTTATTAATTTTACTGAGAAATATATGTCATACAGGATTCCTTCCATGTAACCAAATTTTCATGGAATATAAATTGCAAACAGGGTTTATTTATTCATTAAACATACCTTTAGAGGAGTGATTTTTTTAAAGTACATCGGGCAATTGGGGAAGGAGAGTTACCTAACCTGAATTGTGTGAAATGTATTTGTTATTAGAAAAGGCTCCTGAAATAGATGGCACATAATATGGGTAGTGAATGATCAGTAGGAATTATAGAGATCAGCCAGGTGAAGATTGCAGGAGAAGAGCAGACCAGGCCACTAGCCCTGTGTTATTGAGCAGGTTATTTAAATTACTCATCTTTAAGATAAGAACAATAATAATTACTACTCAGTGAAGTTGTTGAGAGGCTTAAATAACATATACATATGTAGAACACTTAGCATAATGCCTCACTCATAGTTAAGTGCGAAATGAATGTTAATAGCTATTCTAGGAAGAAAAATAGCAGACACAAAAGAACAAAGGCAAAAGGAATCAAGAATTATTTAGAAAATTGCATATACTTCAGCCATAATGAAGGATTTGGGAAGGAAGCATTGAGAATAGTAGAAAATCATTCTAAGTATAACTTTTTAAAATATATTTATTTATTTTAGTATATTTCCCCCAGACTTATGTACATACGAATACACATATGCATGCTACAGTTAGTTATTGGTCTGTAGATAGTGGTTGAAAATGAAGTAGTGATTGTAATAATGATTGAAACCTGTGGAGAGGGTAAAATTTAGAAAGAGAAAGGTTGAGGACTGAATCCTGGGGAATATTAACAATTAAAAGGCTGGCAGAAGAAAAGGAATTTATTAAATTAAAAGATGTTTTTTAAGAAGGCATGGCCAAAAGAGGTCAGGGGTCAGACAGATACTTCCCAGAGTAAAATAGTAAATTCAAATATCCACTGAATTTAGAAAATAGAAAACGACTACAATGCCCGGAATAGTTTCTTTGGGTTAGCAAGGACAAATCCAGATTACCATGGATTGAGAAGGGCATAGGATAGTCCTTCCACACCACATCATGGTACACAAAGAAAATTACAGTATTTGAGCAGAGAAAACTGCTCAAGTCTAGAGGTGACTGGCCTAGCTGAGTAGGAGCCCACTAGATACCACTTGGCCATCTTGAGGTCTGAGAAAATCAAAGGGATATATACCATATCACCCTTATAAACTGCTATAGGAGATAAGTTGGGATTTGGGGACAGCTAGTATAGATAGTTTAGCTATAAAAAGTAAAGGAGAAAAATGAGCTGATGGAAAGAGAGTAAGGTTGAAGAAGGGTCTTTTCTTGTTTTTAATGAAGGGATTTTGAATATTTAAATACATTTAAAAGGTGCTAAAAGGAAAGAAGAGAGGTTAAAGATGGGGTAAGGGGAATAGAACTAGGATAGAGCACCATCCCTAAAGAAATGGAACAGGAAGAAGAAAATCTTCCCCTATGGCATTAAAGGAGGTTAGAAAATAGGATATGGAAAATTACAGTTTTCATTCAAAGCCTCCATTGTTCTCCTTTATGTTAACAGTGAGGTAGCCTGCTCAGTGGAAGGATTTAAAAAATAGACCTGAGTTAGAATGGTAAAGATTTTTAACAGTTGTTATACAGGATAGGAGAGAAACGGACACATGGATAATTTCCCAAGCAGTTTTGAACATGCATTTGGATTGGTGATGATCTTTTGCTTCATCATACTCTGTGAAGTATATGGAATGTATATTATTTATCTAATTTAGAAATGAGGAAGAATACTTTCACAAGAGGAAGGACTATAGTTCTGGCTTCAAGATTTGGGTCTGTCTCACCCAAATAGCTTTTTGACTCATAAGGGTGATCCCACCCACATTGTAATGAAAGCAGAGATTATGCCTGTCTTGTTTTGCACTGTATTTCCAGGATAGACCCTAAGACTTCACACACAGTAGGTAGTCAATAAATACTTATTAAATAAATGCATGCACGGACTCTATTATGAGTAGTCAGATACATTTGTAAATTTTATCAAACACGTTTGTAATCGTGTTAATAAATTCATGCGTTTTATGGGATTTCCTTCTAATAGAAAGCTTAATTCAGAATATTTTTCTCAAATTGGAAATAATTTTTTTTTAAATGTATAATGTCAGAGGTAACCATTCTAGAACAAAATAACAGGGTGAGCAAGATTTTAGATGGGACATAAAGAGTACAAACAATGAGAGAAAAGTTAATTATTTTTTTCCTCTCTGCAAGGCATCATTAAGAAAAAAGTCAAGCCACAGATGGGGAGATAAGATAAACAAACCAATTTTAAAATGGCCAAAAAAATTGAACAGATACTTTATCAAATAAAACATACAAATAGTAAATAAGCACAAGAAAAGACAATCAACATTATTACTCATTGGGGAAATGCAAATTCAAATTAGAGTGAGAAGTACCGCTACACACCCACTAGAATGGCTAAAATTAAAGATACTGACTATACAAAGTATTGGTGAGTATGTAGACTTACCTAACCATGTGTTGGTGATATTGAAAGCAGTTTGTTGTACATTAAATGTACATACATTACCTTACGACTCAGGAATCCCACTGGGGCAGACATTTGCCTATAAGAAAAGAAAACATCATTAAAAAAAAAAGAAAGAAAACATACTTCCCATAAAGACCTATACTTAACTGCTTTTAGCAGCTTTACTTATGTCTTTAATAGAAATACCCAGAAGTCCATCAGTTGGTAATTGGATAAACATAGCTGTGGAATATCCATACAACGAAATACTTCTCAGCAACAGAGAGGAACGAACCACTGATTTCTATGCAACATGGAGGAGTCTCAAAAGCATTATGTCACATAAAAGTTTTCAGACACAAAATATGTAAAACTTTAGAAAAGGTAAAATTATATTGACAGAAAGCAGATTAGTTATTATTGCCAGGGTAGGAAAAGGGAGTTGACCACAGAAGAGGCATAAGGCAGGTTTTTGTGGAGATGGCAATGTTTTATGTATGTATCTCCACAATGATTCACCACTTTACACCCACTAGATGACTGTGATCAAAAAGATGAGTTGGTGAGGATGTAGAAAAATTGGAACCCTCATGTATTGCTAGTGGGAATGTAAAGTGGTGGAGCTGCTTGTGAAAACAGTTTGACAGTTCCTCCAATACTTAAGCATAGAGTTACCATATGACCTTGCAATTCCACTCCTAAATATATGCCCATACAAAATCTGTATATAAATGTTTATAGCAATATTATTCATAATAGCCAAAAAATAGAATGTCCCAAATGGACCATCAACTGATGAATGGATAAATAAAATGTCTATGTGCAGACATTGGAACATTATCCAGAATTAAAATGAATGAAGTACTGATACATACTACAAGGATGAACCTGAAGAACAGTATGCTAAATGAAAGGAGTCCCTCACAGAGACCACATATTACATGGGTCCATTTATATGAAATATTTAGAATAGGCAAATGTATATAGCAACAGAAAGTAGATTAGTGGATGCCTGGGGCTGAAGGAGGTGGAGGTGAATAAGGAGTGACTCCTAATGGGGAAGAGGTTTGTGTTGGGGTAGGGTGAAAGCTAAATTTGTTGAATATTTGCCTGTACTAGGTCATTTGCTGTAATAATTTAATATCCTCAAAGTTTAATATCCTTCTTCAGTTTACTGATGAAGAATTGAAGTTTCAAAAACAAAGGTCATGTTTGTTTTTACTTAAAATAGTATCATGTTGACCAGGCAATATTCCATTTTGTGGTGGTTAGGTATATTTGAAAAGTAATTCAATAATGTTGGACAATTAAATGGTTTTTTTAATTGATGAATGTTTATGGATATATTTAGCACGATGCTTCTCATGAATTGTTATAAATTTCTTTGTTATAAATCTCTAGGAATGGAATTACCAATTCAGTGTTAATTATAAGTGATTAATGCCTTTGTCCATGTGAGTGTTTGCTATGTTTTTTTGCTTTGAGTGCATTGTCATTTGTCCATTTAGCAACTGCCATCTTTACTGTTTTTCTTAAAATTGCAAATGATCTCTATATATGGGTATGAATATTACATTGCTTATACTTATAAAAATATATTTCCAGTACATGTGTCGTTTAATTTTAGTTTTGTTGTTTTTCAGTAGAATTACTCTTATTATACATGGGTGGGGCAGATAAACTAAAAATAAGCTCTGTTGCTATGTAGAGAGCAAAATTTAAAGTCACAAAATAACTTTTTCTTCCAGAAGATATTTGAATTTGTTGTTTAGATTCTGTGTATGTCTGCTACAATGTAATTAGGATACAGTTACTAATATAGTAGTGTTACTAATTTAGATTTTCTTACTTTAATAGTGCACTGGTAAAACTAATGAATAAATCAATAGAGGGGACAGCAGATGATGAAGAGGAGGGTGTAAGTCCAGATACAGCTATTCGTTCAGGACTTGAACTTCTTAAGGTATTTTTGAAACAGTTTGTCTTTTCTGCAGTCATAATTTGAATCCCCTTAAGGATATGCAAGAGTCAGGCTTTATTTCATTGGAAACTATTCAAAAGATTAAAATTTGTAATAGAAATCATATTTTATAAAAATAACATGTTTTCTACATTATAATAATATAATTATTTTACATTATAAAATAATAATTTTATGGGTTTTGCTGTTCTGTACATCATTTGCATGCCTGCTATGCTTGTAACAGTATGTGCTAAATAATCTAGTCTTATCTTTCAAATAACCTGCATCTGGGGTAATAGGACTGTTCACAGGAAATTACTATAAGACATCATCTATCTGATTGGGATTTTTTTAAACAATTGGTAAACATAATAGATGCCAAAGAATTAAGAGAATTGAACAATTAGTAAGAGACATGATTTAATCTAGGGGGAACACAGCATCATCAAAGAGAATAATTCTTGGCATGTTTTAGGGATTATTGTGAGTGTAGTCTGACTAGATAAAAGTATTGCTTTGGGCAGTAATGGAAGACAAGGTTGATTCTAGATTGTGGAGTGCCATTGGGGCAGAAAGGTACCATCAAGGGCATTTAACACTCCTTTTTAAAATGATACAGCACTTGATAGAGCTTTTGTTAGATGGAGTAAAGAGAAGAAATTAAAGGCTAAGAGACATGGGCTTCCCTGGTGGCACAGTGGTTAAGAATACACTTGCCAATGCAGAGGACACGGGTTTGAGCCCTGGTCCGGGAGATCCCACATGCCGCGGAGCAACCGCGCGCCCGCCCGGGGGGGCGGGGGGAGCCACAACTGTTGAGCCTGTGCGCCACAACTACTGAGCCTGCGGTCTAGAGCCCAAGAGCCACAACTACTGAAGCCTGCACGCCTAGAGCCCAAGCTCTGCAACAAGAGAAGCCACTACAGTGAGAAGCCTGTGCACCGCAATGAAGAATAGCCCCGGCTCGCCACAACTAGAGAAAGCCCGTGTGCAGCAACAAAGACCCAATGCAGCCAAAAATAAATAAATTAAATAAATAAATTTATTTAAAATAATAATAAAAAATAAATAAAGGCTAAGAGACATTACAACATATGAACTAAAGGAGAAGAAACAAACCAGTGCAATGGACATTAGACAGAAAAGAGAGTGATGGGTTTGTATTGCAATGGTCTTAAATATCTTTATTTCTTTTTCTTTTTGGCTGTGCTGAGCAGCTTGTGAGATTTTAGTTCCCCGACCAGGGATTGAACTTGGGCCTTCAGCAGTGAGAGCGTGGAGTCCTAATCACTGGACCGCCAGGGAATTCCCTTAAATATCATTTCATGGAAAGAACTGATGTGATTCTTCATGAGAAAAACTTTATATTTTTAGTAATGGAGTAATATGTTTAAATACTTTTTTTTTTTTTAATTTTTTTGTTTGTTTGGGTTTTTTTTGCGGTACGTGGGCCTCTCACTGTTGTGGCCTCTCCCACTGCGGAGCACAGGCTCTGGACGCGCAGGCTCAGCGGCCATGGCTCACGGGCCCAGCCACTCCGCGGCATGTGGGATCTTCCCAGACCGGGGCACGAACCTGTGTCCCCTGCATCCGCAGGCGGACTCTCAACCACCGCGCCACCAGGGAAGCCCTGTTTAAATACTTTTAAGAGTAAAGTCATCTTTAAGGCAAATGTTTTTAATAGGTTGTTTAATTCAACTTTTCAAATTTAAATCTCCATTTTTCTATGAATAATTAAAACCTTATAACTAAATATTATCACCGTAAACCCTACCAAATGAGACACTTTCTCCACTTTATAACACTAAAAAATGCTGGGCTTCCCTGGTGGTGTAGTGGTTGGGAGTCCGCCTGCCAATTATCACCGTAAACCCTACCAAATGAGACACTTTCTCCACTTTATAACACTAAAAAATGCTGGGCTTCCCTGGTGGTGTAGTGGTTGGGACCCCCCCTGCCAATGCAGGGGACACGGGTTCGAGCCCTGGTCCGGGAAGATCCCACATGCTGCGGAGTGGCTGAGCCCATGCGCCATAACTGCTGGGCCTGCACTCTAGAGCCCGGGAGCCACAACTGCTGAAGCCTGAGCGCCGGGAGCCTGTGCTCTGCAACAAGAGAGGCCACCGCAGTGAGAAGTCCGTGCACCTCAGTGAGAAGTCTGTGCACCACAGTGAAGAGTGGCCCCCGCTCGCTGCAGCTGGGGAAAGCCCGCATACAGCAATGAGGACCCAGTGCAGCCAAAAAAAAGAAAAAACAATGCTTATTTAATAAGTTAATGAGGGTTTACATACTCCATTCCCCCCACCTCCTTATTTTTCTACTTTTAGCCCTTACTGCCTATATTATGCTAACTAAATTGTTTCTACTTCATGGAAGGTAAACTTTGTAGATATGTATCTAACTTGCTGTAAATTCCTTAAGGATAGCCTGGAACTTATGTCTCAATAAAGGGAATAATTATATGTTTGTAATCGTGATTAAGAGTTCCCAATAATGGCTTCTTTGTTTTTAGTTACGATGAGTGAACTTTTTTGATGGATTTCATTTAAAATATTTCCTTATAGAGTATCTTTTTGCCAGTGAAATAAAGCTCAGTGTTAGCATTTTGTTCGCATCACAGTATCACTCCATGAAAAGGAGCCACATTTTCCACATTCCCAGTATCAAAATAGACTAAGAGGTGAAAAAGAAAATATAGCAAGGGCTGTATATCAGGAATCATCAGCCACAACTCAACTTCAAGGGAGACTGCAAGATATAATCTTAGTTGTATTGCTAGCATATGCAGCCCATAATTAAAAATTTTATTTGTAGTAGAAAATAGTTCTCTTCTTTTAATGGATTAAAACCATTGTCTGTACTTATAAAGTTATATCTATTCCTCTAGGTTCTGTCTTTCACACATCCTACCTCGTTCCACTCTGCAGAGACATATGAGTCCCTGTTACAGTGCCTCAGAATGGAAGATGACAAGGTAGCAGAAGCTGCTATACAAATTTTTAGAAATACAGGCCACAAAATAGAAACAGACCTACCCCAGATACGATCGTGAGTATGTTTTTTCTCATGGTAAACACAAAAGTTTTCCAAGTTTGGGAGTCATAGGATCATTGTTTCCCTTTTCCTTAGGAAGATAGGAGAGAGGAAAGACAACTTTTATTTAGAAGCTGCTTTACTGTATCCTTTGTTTTCATCTTTTCTCAGCCTCACACTACCATTAGAATATGGGCAGAGGAACAACCTGAAACGTTGTTTAAACAACATGATTTCAAAATATTAATATTAACAATCAAAAGTTAGTATAGAATTTAGAACTTAGGATTAATATATCTTCCTAATTTATCTTTTTTCTCCAACTCCAAATTCAATAGCTACTACCTTCATATCCCACCCAAGAATTGGATAATCAAGTAGTGTGCTTATTAATAAAATGTTTATTAGTTGCTTAGTTGTTGGCCATGGTGCTTTTGTCTCTTCTTCTAGACTACCTCCCCTCTCCTCATAAGAATGAAGTATGTTTTGGTATTTTTACTTTGGCACCTTAAAGAGCTTGCCTTAGGATCAAAATTGTGCTGATGTCTTTTGGAGGAAGAACACATTGCTGATAGCTATTATAATTGGATGTTATTATATATATGTAAATAGACTGGGGTAAATCCAAATCAAACCCGTTTTTCCTTACGGGGTAATAATAGGACAAGAGGACTTATGACTCCTAAAAGTTTTTATTGAATTTGTAAGCTAATAGTTTAATTTGAGAAATAACTCAACATTTATTGTACATTCTCTTCATTGTCGGCACTGTACTGGCTAATATAAAAGATTACCACTGTCAGTCCCTGCTCTTAAGGATTTTATAGTCTAGAAATGATAATTTAATCTTTGTACATTATAGAAAAAAATCATTGACACAGTAGGATAAAGTTAATTTGTGAGTTTTTCAAGGTGGGAAAACCTATACTTTTTTAAGGTAAAGGATTTATTCTTAAAGGAATTCTATCCCAGAGGAAGCAGTGGAAGAGTTAACTTTGGACACAAGGACTAAAACCTCTTGTTCTTAAGACTAATGGGGAAGGAAGGAGAGAATCACTGAAAAAGCAGAGAAGCACAGCACTGCGGACCTCAGTAACAACACTGGTGGCATCACTGGATTGTAGCACACTAGAAAAACAAGGAGAAAGGTTAAACTTGACCTATGCATCATCCATTCATTAGGCTAAGAAGAATTAATAATATATTTAACAACAATTTGATCAACACTGTATCTTCTTTTGTTACTAACTGGTGTTATTTACAAGAACTGTTCCCCTGATAAATGAATTTCAAAGAAAGACTTAAACAGTGCTTAGTCAAGGAAGCTATTTTGGCATGAAAATCCTTCTCATTATTCTAAACTGCAGGGAGAGAAATGTGTCATATTCATAAATATCAAATTCGACTTAGACTGACCAGCATATGTTCCTGTTTTTTCTTTGAGGTGCATTGCTCTTAATGTCTAGCCTCCCATTATTATAAGAGGACCCTTTGTCACCATCGCATTTATCATTGACCTTTATGAAGTAGTCTTTTTGCATTAAATATATGACAAGTATCTTTCCTTAAATATTTGTTTTGCTTTACAGATTTTCTTCTGATTTAAAAAACTACTTATAAGATCATTGTAAAAATCTGAAACTTTAGAAAATATAAAGGAAAAGAAAGAGTCAGTGTTAACATTTTGATATATTTTTTTACGAATGTTTTATCTATTTGATGTGTATGCCAATTTTAATGCATTGACTGTAATATGTATTTCCGTATTCTATAGAAAGATTGTTGTAAATCTTCAATGTCAGTGTGGTGGTTAAGTGCATGGATTTGGAACAGAAATGTTTATCTTTTAAAAAAAAAAACAATTTCCATTTTATTTTATTTCATTTATTTTATTTTTTAATTTTGGGCTGCGTCGGGTCTTAGTTGTGGCACATGAGCTTCTCTCTAGTTGTGGCACGCAGGCTCCAGAGCGCATGGGCTCTGTAGTTGGCAGCGCATAGGCTCCGTAGTTGCCCCGCTGCACGTGGGATCTTAGTTCCCTGACCAGAAATGTTTATCTTTAAATCTCAATTCCACCATTTCCTATCTCTGTCACCTTAAGAAGCTTACATAAATAATATGTTTGTGCTTTAGTTTTCTCATCTGTTTAATGATCATAATAGTAGTCTTTGGGTGATTGTGAGGATTGATTTAATTAATCCATGTTTTGTTTTGTTTTGTTTTAAAAACACCACTTAGAAGGGTACTTAGCACAAGTACTCAGTAATTGTTAGAAGTTTTTGTTACTTTTCTACCTATGTATTGTCTATATCCTTGCATACTCTCTTTCACTGGTATGTTCATTTCTGTTTTTTAATGTAACTTGGCCTTTTGCTACTTTTTTCCCCCCCATGGTTGCTTTAAAATAACTGAACAGGGGACTTCCCTGGTGGTTAAGAATCTGCCTTCCAATGCAGGGGACACGGGTTTGATCCCTGGTCAGGGAACTAAGATCCCACGTGCCCTGGGGCAACTAAGCCCATGAGCCGCAACTACTGAGCCCCTGCACCACAACTAGAGAGCCCACATACTCTGGAGCCTATGCACCACAACTAGAGAGCCCTTGCACTGCAACTGAGCCCATGCACTCTGGAGCCCATGTGCCACAACTAGAGAGAAGCCACAACAAAAGATCCCGTGTGCTGCAACTAAGACCCAACACAGCCATAAATAAATAAATATTAAAACAAAAACAAAAAAACACTTGATTCTTAAAAAAATTTTTTAAAAATAACTGAAGGGAATTGTGAAAGGGAAGTGGAAAATTTAGGAATATTTTCTCAGAAGATAAATGTAAAAATATGGCATGGGACAATTTTAGATTATAAATTAAGGGTGGCTTGTTTATATCTCCATATTCATGAGGTGGCTTTAAAATGAAAATTGTCTTCTGTAGTAGCCCTTTTTTTTTGAGGCATTGTATTTCTGGGATTATACTTGGGGACAGGGAAGGAGTTTTAGATCTTTTTATAGATCAGGTAATTTAGAAGAGAGGCTTTCTACCAGCATACATCCAAATAGTTACTGCAGATGAAGTAGGAGACAACCAGAAGAACTACTTGTGGTTTATGGGCTTTTTTTTTTTTTAACTGATTATTATTTTTTGCAGGACCTTAATTCCCATCTTACATCAGAAAGCAAAGAGAGGTACTCCCCACCAAGCAAAACAGGCCGTTCACTGTATCCATGCCATATTCACAAATAAAGAAGTACAGCTTGCACAGATTTTTGAGGTATATATAATTACATAGGCTGTGTTGTTGATTTTTATTTTCATGCTCTGTGGTTTGATGAAGATAGAAAGTTGGTTTTTTAGCTATTTAGTCCCACTCTAGAATATAAATTCCATGGGAGCAGGACTCTTTGTTTTATTCAGCACTTTAGATATTCCCAGCCTTTAGATCAGACTATATAACCAAATACTACATATTGAAAGATGTTTGATGTGTTTTGTGTTACAACATTTTACTTAATTTTAGCTTTATTGGCTCAGTGGTCCATTTACCTTAAGAAACTATCAGTAGATGACTTTGAACCACCCAGTTTAAAATTCTGGACAGCCCTACTTGAAAATTAGTTCTGTTTGCCTTTCCTTATGTATGATCCTTTGCCTGATTCCACTACTGGAAAAGTATTCCTGTTATCATAAATTGGATACAATATGAACAGAACCCATGAACTCTTATTTTTTATGATCCATGGTCATTTAAAATGTTCCCACAGGTTAAGAAATTCAACAACATAACAAAACTATTGTACATGACTTGAAAATAATGCTGATTTGACCATGCAGGAATTTTCTTGCTTTTACTTCTACCTTATATGTGGGCTTTACTTTTTTCTTTTATCTTTGTTCACCTTTGAATCTTATTAAATTTCGGTAGGTGAAATAAGAATCAAGTGTCTAATATGATTGAAGTTACTTTTGATCATCTCATTAGAACAGATTTTTTTGGGCATGATAAATGAGGACTCAGGAACATTTACTGTTTCTGTACAATGTCTAGATATTTATAAAACAAACTAGTAATTTTGACTGTTTTATTTTTATAGCCACTCAGTAGGAGTCTCAATGCTGATGTACCGGAACAACTTATAACTCCATTAGTTTCATTGGGCCACATATCTATGTTAGCACCAGATCAATTTGCTTCCCCAATGAAATCTGTAGTAGCAAATTTTATTGTGAAAGATCTGCTAATGAATGACAGGGTAAGTTTCTCATTTAATTAAATTTAGAATCATAATCTTTATTTGTCACAGAAACAATACCGCTTCTCTCTATGTATGATTCTCTTTTACTTTAAAATTATTATATATTTTACCTCCTTATTTACTTAAATTTCCAAATGACATCCTGCTGTGTAGCTATTATTACTAGAACTTAACTTTTCTTTAAGAAAGAAAAAAATGAGAACATGAGATAGATGAATCATGAAGTAAAAAATATAAGTCAAATGCTATGGACAATTAACTAGAGTACTAGAATTTTGTTTTATCAAATATTGTTTAAAGTATAAGTGGGATTGTATTTGACTAGCTTTTTGAAATATAATTACTTTGCACTTTTGGCACTATATTTATGTATTCTATTTTAGTTATTGAAGTGTGTGTGTGTGGGCATGCACACATGCGTGCACACATACTGATTAATTAGCTTTGGGTTGGAGCTTTGGGATGTATAGCTTGAAAAGGCTCCCCAAGTGATTACTGAAACACGTGTCTGATTAAGAATCACCGCTTTACCAAACAGATCTAAATTAGAGCGTTACTGAATGAAGACACAAATCAGTCTACCTGCTGGATCATTGTGGATGACTTTCAGTGCAGTACTAACTTATCCAATTTATCTAGTGTCTCTAAATGGTCCAGTAGCCTTTGAACACTCAGTATTGGAACTTAAAAAAAAAATACTTGCCAGCGCACTCCTTACTCTTTTCCCTCCCTCCATTTGGATGTGATAGGGATGCAAGAGCATGGCCAAAGCCTCATTTCCTACTCCATACATCTGTTCTTTGCACTACTGATAGATTTGGCTGGCAACAGATGTGAAATTTGACACTTCTTAGATGATGACTTGATTGTTGATAAATTCTATTTTAATATAGGTCTCTTTTTTTGTGTGTAGTAAAATATAAATAATGTAAGCTTTGCCATTTTATCCCTTTTTAAGTGTACAGTTCTCTTACATTATATACACCCACATTCTTGTTGTTGGGTGTTTTTTGTTTAAAAAACAAACAGAAGTTTAAGAACATGTGTACCTCCTGTATACACAGAGGATAACCCAGGAAAGCCAAGCAACTCTCAACAATGGCCCAAGCTACCACCTAAGATATACACCCACATTGTTGTGTAACCATTGCCACTATTTCCAGAACTTTATCATCTCAGAGAGAAACTCTGTATCTATTAACCAGTAACTCCCCATTGCCTTCTCTCCCCCCAGACTCTGGTAACCTCTATTCTATGTTCCTGCTTTATGAATTCGCCTATTCTAGATACCTCTTATCATACAATATTTATCCTTTTGTGTCTGGCTTATTTCTCTTAGCATAACGATTTCAAGATTCAGCTATGTTGTAGTATGTATCAGAACTTCATTTTATGCCAGAATAGCATTCCATTGTATGTGTAACTTACATTTTGTTTATCTTCTGTTGACGGACCCTTGGGTTTTTTCTACCTTTTGACTGTTGTGAATAATGCTGATATGAACATTTGAGTCCCCAGAGTCAAATCTTTGGGGTATATACCTAGGAGTGGAATTGCTGGGTCACATGGTCATTCTATGCTAAACTTTTTGAGGGACTGCCAAACATTTTTCCACAGTGGCTGTACCATTTTACATTCCCAGCAGCCATGCTCAAGGCTTCCAGTTTCTTTACATCTTGGCCAACACTTATTCTTTCCTATTTTTTTTTGATAATAGTCATCCTAGTAGGTGCAAAGTAGTATCTTGTGGTTTTGATTTGTTTCCCTAATGACTAATGATGTTGAGATTTTTTTTCATGTGCTTAATGGCTGTTCTTTGGATATTGAATCTTTTGCCCACTTTTAATTGAATTTGTTGTTGTTGAGTTGTAAGAATTCTTTATATATTCTGAATATTAGACCTTTGTCAGGTATTTACCAAATCCAGGATTATAAAGATTTTCCCCTGTACCTTCTTCTAGGAGTTTTTTAGTCTTAGTTCTTAAGTAAAGATCTTTGATCCATTTTTTTGAGTTAATTTTTATATATGATATAAGGTAACAGTCCAGCTTCATTCCTTTGCTTGTCGCTGTATCTAGTTTTTCCAGCACCATTTGTTGAGGAGACTGTTCTTTTCCCAATAAATGGTCTTAGCACTTTTGTTAAAAATCAGTAGACCATATATGTGATATATGTGAGGTTTTCTGGGTTTCTGTTCCATTCCATTGGTCTATATGTCTGTACTTAGGTAGGTACCAGCCACATTGTCTTGATTCTCGTAGATTTGTAGTTAAGTTTCAAAATCGGGAAGTTTGAGCCCTCTAACTTTGTTCTTCTTTTCAAGTCCCTACTTGGTGACTTTCTGTGGGTTTCCTAGAGCACTGCACTGTTCAGCATGAAAAACTTAATGAGCAAAATTTAAAATTTTTTTCTAAAAGTTAAATTTATTCAATTGTCTATAGTCAACAGGTGAGAAGAATGGGAAATTATGGTCTCCAGATGAAGAAGTTTCCCCTGAAGTACTAGCAAAGGTAAATTTGTGTAGGTCTTAATAACTTCTATGTTGAGACAAAGAACATTTATAGATACCCTTTTTTTAAAAAAACCTAACAGTTAATAAGCATTTTAAATGAGGTACTTTATTTTTAAATCAAAAGTTGTGGGCTTCCCTGGTGGCGCAGTGGTTGAGAGTCCCCCTGCCGATGCAGGGGACACGGGTTCGTGCCCCGGTCTGGGAAGATCCCACGTGCCGCGGAGTGGCTGGGCCCGTGAGCCATGGCTGCTGAGCCTGCGCGTCCGGAGCCTGTGCTCCGCAACGGGAGAGGCCACAACAGTGAGAGGCCCGCATACTGCAAAAAAAAAGTTGTATGTTTCTCAAATTGTAGTTGTCATTGACTTATTTACATATAGGTATATGTCAGCATGTTCTTTAGACCTTCCTGCCTTGCTAAGATAATTTCAGTGAGGCTGTTTTACATAGAGATTGTAGAATATTGATGCTCAGAAGCACCTCAGGCCTAGCCTCATTACCAGTGTCTGTTTACAGGCATAAGAATATTAACTTGGCAAAAACAGATGGCTGTCATCATATTGAAAACTTTTGATAGATGTAAATTGTCCCTCAGGAAAGCTAATTTTTAAAGTGGTAGTCTTGGGATTTAAAACAAGACTTCTTCATTATCATCTTACTTGATTGATAATCTATTTTACCTTGTAGCTTCACAGTCCTCATTTATTCCATCAGTTCCTTTTTCCAGGTTGTCAGTAAATATAGTAAATAATATCTACACTCTTTAGCTAGTTCTTGCGTATATTCCATAACAGTCTTTTGAGTATAAGCCACCAAGCAATTATGGCTACAAATAATTATGAAATCTCCTAGATTTTTAATCAAAATAGTTTTTCAGTACTACAAAAAATATTACAGTCTATCTAAATAGTTATTTTTAATCACTGTAATCAGTATAGTTTAGTTATTTTTAAACAATATATTTTTAAATGATTTGACAAGCAGTTGTTCAGGTGTGAAAAGTCTGAATTCAAGGAGCCAGACCTTGGGCAAGTTATCACAGTAATGTGTCTAAGTTGCCTTATTTATTGGAAATAAGAATACCTCTCTCGGGGCTTCCCTGGTGGCGCAGTGGTTGAGATTCCGCCTGCCGATGTAGGGGACACAGGTTCGTGCCCCGGTCCGGGAAGATCCCACATGCCGCGGAGCGGCTAGGCCCATGATGCATGGCCACTGAGCCTGCGCGTCCGGAGCCTGTGCTCTGCAACGGGAGAGGCCACAACAGTGAGAGAGGCCCACGTACAGGAAACAAACAAAAAAAAGAATACCTCTCTCATAGAGTTGTTTGGGAGATTAAATAAAGTAATATATGTGTAACTCTGGGGAAAGTACCTGGCATAGATTAAACTGAATAAGTATTAGTTCTCATTGTTATTATCCTATAGACTTGTTTAATAAAACATGTCTTCCACCAGCTAAGTAATCTCACTAATCTAATTAACATAAATTAATCTAACCTTTAAGTGGAATTTTAAGTTGCTTTCTTTTTTTAGCATGTTAATATTTTATAGGTACAGGCAATTAAACTTCTGGTAAGGTGGCTGTTGGGTATGAAAAACAACCAGTCTAAATCTGCCAATTCAACTCTTCGGTTATTATCAGCGATGTTGGTTAGTGAGGGTGACCTGACAGAGCAAAAGAAGATCAGGTGAGATTTTTCTTCCTTTCCAGGTTTTTTTAGCTCAAGATGTTGGTAGAGCTTACGTAGGAATTATTTACTTAATATTGACTGTTGTAATTGCACTATGTGCTTTGTGTTTAAATTTTACATACTTATTTGGGGTTTATATCTGAATAATGATCATGTATTTTTCTTCATCCCTAAAGACACCTTTTTCCAGTAAATTTTTAGTCATAATCACTACAGCATTGTTACAGTTAGCTTCAACATTTGAATCAGTTAAACAATATTTGTTGAATATTTGTTGAACTCTTTGCAAAACACTACGAATATTTGTTGAACTCTTTGCAAAACACTACGAAAAGCATTGCAGCAAAAACAGATAAAATTCCGTTCCTGCCTTTAAGGAACTTACCCTAGTATAGTGATTGAACAAGTAGAGTGTCTTGATGCCATGAAGGGAATAAAAATTTCAGTGTAGGTTCAAAGAAGAAAGAGATGCAGCCTCCTGATGGTTTGCAGAAGACTATACAAGGTTCTGCAAATGCCCAAAAAAAATTTATTTCATTTCTACACCTGTTCACTCTTCAAATCTGTGAAATCACCATTTCTTTTCTGTTCCTTTTAAGATGAAAATAAAAGCCAAATTTTTTTATTTACTAGGGTCCAGCTGAAATAACTGAAAAGTTCTACTTGTGATGGATTCTTACTTTAAAATTTTTGTTAGAGGATAGATTTAACTATTTATTTATGCTTTCAGTATTTATTGAGCACTATCATGTCAGGTACTACCAAGCCTTTTAAAGATACAATAATCTCTCCCTATAAGGAGTATGCATTCTAGTGGAGGAGATAGGAAATGCACAATTACGGTAGAGATGCTGAATGCTCTGATAAACTGAAGAAAACAATCAGAAAATATTTTTATCATAAAATAAGCCAAGGGTAGCTTTGCATGAACAGATTGAAGAGTAGGGACAATGAGAAGTTCTAAATTTGGGGAAACTATGTACAGTGTACAGCAAAGGCTTAATAATGAGCTCTTACAAATCAATGATACATAGGATCCCCAAGAAAGATGAAGATTATATATTACCAGTTTACCTTTAAAAAAGTGTTTGACATCACTAAATACAATAAGTAGAATTTTAATTTAAGTGGAACCTCTTGTCTGTCAAGTCAGCAAAAAGTTTTTTAAGAAATCATCACTCCATGGGATCAGGGAAATGGGTTCCCTCTTAAATCCTGTGAATATAAATGGGCACAGTCTTGGCAGGACAGTTTGGCACTTTGTTTCTAAGTCCTTAAAAATGTTATCCATTGACTCTTTTTTTTTTGACTCTTTATTTTTACACTCATGAAATTATAAAAGAATCATACAAAAATACATATACAAACATGTTCTTTCCAGCATTTTTTATCATCACAGAAGATAGGGGAATGGTTAACTGTGGAACACACATGTTATGAAATATTATGCAGATCTTAATTAGATGTTATGTATCCCATAGTTTAGCTTAGGCTCTGGAATCAGAAACTTATTCAGCTCTACCTACGCTCCATTTACTAGCTGTGTGAACTTGTATAAGTCACTTTCCTAAGCCTCAGTTTCCTCATCTTACAGAGTTAAGTACACAAATAGTAGCATTAATTTTTTAAATTCCTGAATCATTTGCCTCAGAAGCCATTTGAGGGTTCCTCATTGTTACCAGTGCTCAGTTTGATGGTCATGTGGTCCAAGAGTGCCATGTTTTCTCCTCCTGTATGCTAAATAATAGTCCCTTGTGGATTCAGGGCAGCTTTCCACATTTCCTAAAGTCTTTAAAATATCAAAGCTATGTTATGTTCCTTATTAGCAGTTGAAGTAAGAAGACTATCCTTTCACCACCTCACTGTCACATTTTACCATTTACGTTATAAAAGTTGACTGGGTGTGGGTGGGAGTGCCTGGACTCCCTGGAGTCCCTTGGAAAACTTCCTGTTGCAAAGGAAAGTCTGCCTCAGAGACTAGTACCTGAGAGAGACTGGCTCTCACCTCCATATCCTTTCCTTTTAGATATTTGTCTGATGCCTCCCACTTTCTGGTACAGATCACCTCCTAATTCATAGCCCCTTCCATTTCATCAGACATTTGTAGGCTTAAGATTGATTTCTGTTATGTCTGTGTAAATATGTGTATGCATTTAAAAATTGTGGGAAATACAACAGATTTTAAATAAGTGATTTTTAATTTTTCAGGTTTTTTTAATATCAAGTTTTCTATGATGAATGTGAATGCCTCTTAAAATGAGAAATACAGTTCCTAATGTAAATGTTTCTTGCTAGCGTTGCAGTTAGTGCTGTTGTATGCATAAGCAGAGTTGCTTAGCTGTGGTGGAAGATCTAAGCTAGAGTGTAACTAAAAATGAAAGCAGACATAAAAAAAGAATGAAATTTTGCCATTTGCAACAACATGGATGGACCTGGAGAGTATCATGCTTAGTGAAATAAGTCAGACAAAGACAATACCATATGTTATCACTTATATATAGAACCTAAAAAATTAAAAGAAACTAATGAGGACTTCCCTGGTGGTACAGTGGTTAAGAATCTGCCTGCCAATGCAGGGGACACGGGTTCGAGCCCTGGTCCGGGAAGATCCCACACGCTGCAAAGCAACTAAGCCCGTGCGCCACAACTACTGAACCTGTGCTGTAGAGCCTGTGCTCTACAACAAGAGAAGCCACTGCAATGAGAAGCCCATGCACTGCAACGAAGAGTAGCCCCCGCTCGCCACAACTAGAGAAAGCCCGCGTCCAGCAACAAAGACCCAACACAGCCATAAAGTTAATTAATTGATTGATTGATTGATTGATTAAAGAAACTAGTGAATATAACAAAGAAGCAGACTCACAGATACAGAGAACAAACTAGTGGTTGCTGTTGGGGAGGGGGAGGGGCAAGATAAGGGTACAGGCTTAAAAGGTACAAACTACTATGTATAAAATAAGGTACAAGGATATATTGTACAACATGGGGAATATAGCCAAGATTTTATAATAAATATAAATGGAGTATAATCTATAAAAATTTTGAATCACTATGTTGTACACCTGAAATTAATATAATATTATAAATCAGCTATACCTGAATAAAATAAATTTAAAAATTTTAAATGAAGGCAGATAAATTTAATATCAGATAGTCACAATGATTTGAGCCTTCTGCCCTGTGTTGAATTGAAGGACTCAAAGTAACTTTCCCATATTTATACATTATGTCATGTTAAGCATAAATTATGCTAAAGACCTTAACAGTCAAAAAGGGATCAAAGAGTTTTGTGAATGATAATGGTTATAGGAAATGTTTCTTTCTTTTTTGTTTGTTTATAGTAAATCTGATATGTCTCGCTTGCGATTAGCTGCTGGTAGTGCCATAATGAAGCTTGCTCAGGAACCTTGTTACCATGAAATTATAACCCCAGAACAGTTTCAGCTCTGTGCGCTTGTTATTAATGTAAGTAACAATCTTATTTTTGTCATTTACTTGGCCTTCAAAGTTAAATTTATTTACTTTCTATAGATTACAGATCCATTTGCTGTATGGATGTATGCACAAAAGGGATTGCTATTATTACTATTCTAACCAGTTAACTCCCCAAAATTAAGTTATTTACTCCCTCAGTATAATTTTTTTTTTTTTAAATGAAGACATTAAAAATGCTTAAACTGTCTTTTTGTAAATGTTTGCCAATTTTTGAAAACTAAACTAGGGGTTTTTGTCATGGTTTTAAAAGTACTAATACTTTTATTTAAGTATTTTTGGTTTTGTGCTGCTGTAGGATGAGTGCTATCAAGTAAGGCAGATATTTGCTCAGAAGCTACATAAGGCACTTGTGAAGTTACTCCTCCCATTGGAGTATATGGCGATCTTTGCCTTGTGTGCCAAAGATCCTGTGAAGGAGAGAAGAGCACATGCACGACAGTGTTTACTAAAAAATATCAGTATACGCAGGGAGTACATTAAACAGAACCCCATGGCTACTGGTAAGTAACTTTCAAAGTGCTCAGTGTGCAGATATATCTTGTCAGTGTATCAATTTGTGGAGGGTTTTATTTCATATATTTCTATTACAGTTTATAATAACACTGGGACTTTTATAGAATGCTGTTGTTGTAGTTAAGATGTAAGTAAAATCTAAAATCCTGGTTTCTGAGTCCTATTTATAATGCATAAAACTGGAGGAACTGCGTTTTTTCTTATGGAATCTGCAGTGTGGCTTGATTTGAACACATTGCTCTGATGTCAGAGAGTAAAGAATTACTTTCCTATTGCCAGGGACTCAATCTTAAATTATCCTTTGTCTTCAGTAGCCTTCAAAATTGAAAGAAGTTATTTCAGTATCATCTAGATGTCATGTTGCCTCTAATTTGGAAATAACTGAGGGAAAAAATGTTAACTGAAGTGGTTAGAACGTAAATTAGGGAGGGATTTTTATAAAGCCTATTATTACTATTGTTAATAATAATGTTTTCACTTCAGAGAAATTATTATCACTGTTGCCTGAGTATGTAGTTCCATATATGATTCACCTGCTAGCCCATGATCCAGATTTTACAAGATCACAAGATGTTGATCAACTTCGTGATATTAAAGAGTAAGTCATGTTGATTTTTAATAAGTCTAACAATTATTTTTCCTTTTTAAAAAATGCTAAATTTTTTCCTTTTACTATTCGCATTAGAATAAAAACATTTTTATGGTTTTATTCTTCTATTTAAATTTTAAGTTTCATCTTACAAAATTGTTCCCATCTAATAAGTTCTATTTGGTTGTTTTGTTTGTTTCCTGTTTGTTTGCAGTTAGCTTTAGCTGAGTCTGTGAAATAAGTTGATTTGGTCTTTATGTTATTTTTACCTTTGTATTAAGATGGGCTTCAGTTACTTCAGTTTGATAATTTAGAAAGCCATGTAGTGAAAATTTCTCTCCTTAAAACTATACTTCAGGGCTTCCCTGATGGTGCAGTGGTTGAGAGTCCTCCTGCCGATGCAGGGGACACGGGTTCGTGCCCCGGTCCAGGAGGATCCCACATGCCGCGGAGCGGCTGGGCACGTGAGCCATGGCCGCTGAGCCTGCGCGTCCGGAGCCTGTGCTCCGTAACGGGAGAGGCCACGACAGTGAGAGGCCCGCGTACCGGGGAAAAAAAAAAAAATTATACTTCAACCTCAAAAGATAATTCCTCAAAAATATGCACACACATACGAGATACTCTGTGGCAGGTCTATGGTAATACAAAATTAGATTTGTTACACCAGTCACAGAGAGATTTGTCTCTAGTGGAAAGACAGGCAGGTAAACAATTGCAAAACACTTGTTTAAGAAGTGTTTTTATGTAAAATAGAACTTTATATATGATGCAGGGTGAGTGAACAAGTACGAAGTAGCCTAGGATTGTCTACAAATGACCTCCAAGAAACTTTAAAGCAATGTCTATTTTCCCATTGCTGTGCTTTTGCTTTGCACATTTAAATTGGTTCCTTCAGCTTATATTTAAAGTACTATGATTTTTCTATGTGTGACATGAAGCCTTATCCCTAATCTTATTTGAGGTTGTAATCAACAGTTTATCTCTGCCTCCTGTAGCTCTTTTAGGAGACATAGGTTCTAGTCATAGCTATCTGAGTAAAAACTTTACTTCTCTGCTTCAGTTGCCTTATCCATAAAATGTAAGATATGAAATAATCCCTAAAATATCTTCCAATTCTAGTTTCTGTTTACTTAATAAATATATTTTACTTGCAAATTCTTTTTTCCTTTTTTTTTTTTAAATAACTTTTATTTTGGGATTTCCCAGAAAGTACTTCATAAAGTGAAAAAGTGATGTATGTATTTGCCTGGAACACAAGGTCTATGTTAAGGAACCTTTTTAGCCCTATTTCAGTTGCAAGGCAGTCATGTGAAAAAGGGATTAGATTTGCGAGAGGCAACAACAGTGATGTGGGAAAAGTACTGAAGTCATCAGTTAGAATTGAAATCACTGGCACATACTTTTTGGTTCTATCTAGCATGCAGTACTTTTTGAGTATCTTTAAACATTTCATTTTAAGTTACCATGTAATTTGAAGTGTTCACTTTTCTTTTTCTAGTTAAGGTGTACAGTTTCTTAAGGTATACAGTTAGATCATTCATTGAGATGTTGTTTCTTAACAGAGGGTGTTATCGCTGTAAATTTCCCTTTTAGTACTACCAGTGCTGAATCCTATAAGTATGGTATGTTGTTGTTTTTGTTTTATTTGTCTTAAGGTATTTTCTAATTTTTCTTGTGATTTCTTCTTTGACCCATTGGTTGTTTAAGAGTGTGTGGTTTGGGAATTCCCTGGCGCGGTCCAGTGGTTAGGACTCTGCTTTCACTGCCAAGGCCCTGGGTTCAATCACTGGTCAGGGAACTAAGATCTCACAAGCCACACGGCCAAAAAAAACACATAGGAATGTGTGGTTTAATTTCCATATATGTGTGAGTTTTCCAGTTTTCCCTGTTTTCCTTCTTTTATTGACTTAGTTTCATGCCATTCTGGTCAGAAAGGGTACTTTTTATTAAGACTTGTTTTATGGCCTACCATACGGTCTGCCCTGGAGACTATACCATGTTCACTTGAGAAAAATGTGTATTCTGCTATTGTTAGTTGGATTGTTCCATATATGTCTGATATCTGATTGGTTTATAGTGTTGTTCAAGTTCTTTATTTTCTTTTTAGTCCCTGTCTGGTTTTTCTACCCATTATTGAAAATAGGGTATTGAAATCTGTTACTGCGGAAACATGTATTTCTCCCTTCAATTCTGTCAATTTTTGCTTCATAGATTTTGGGGCTTTGTTGCTAGGTTCGTATGTGTTTATAATAGTCATATATCTTCTTACTGGTTTTACTCTCATCAATATAGTCCTTCTGGACTTAATAGATTTTGGGACTTTGTTGCTAGGTTCATATGTGTTTATAGATTCATAGATTTTGGGGCTTTGTTGCTAGGTTCGTATGTGTTTATAATAGTCATATATCTTCTTACTGGTTTTACTCTCATCAATATAGTCCTTTTGCAATCCATTTTGTCTAATTCTAAAATAGCCACCAGCTCTCATTTGGTTACTGTTTGAATGAGTATATTTTTTTCATCCTTTTACTTTCAAATAATTTGTGTTTTTATATCTAAAGTGAGTCTCTTGTAGATAAGATATAGATGGATCTTCCCCCCCCCCTTAATGTACTCTGCTTCTCTGCTTTTTAATTGGGGGATTTAATCTATTTTCATTTAAAGTAATTACTGATAAGGAAGAAGTTACTTCTGCCATATAGCTGTTAGTTTTCTCTGTGTCTTACCTATTTTTTGTTACTTAATTGCTCCATAGCCTCTCGTTTTTGTATTTACAGTTGACCCTTGAACAACACAGGTTTGAACTGTGTAGAGGGTCAGCACCCCTAACTCTTGTGTTGTTCAAGGGTCAGCTGTAGTTGTTTTTTGTAGGGAACCTTTTTGATTCCTTGCTTTTGTGTATATTTTTTAGTTATTTTCTTAATGATTACACTTAACATCTTAAAGTTGTAACAGCCTAGTTAGAATAATAGCAACTTAGTTTCATGAGTATAGAGATAGTCTGCTTTTATACAACTTTATTCCACTCCCTTTATATTTTAATTGATAAAATTATATCTTTATACATTGTTTTATTTTACATATATATGATTATTATTTTATGCATTTTCCTTTTAAGTCATATATTTAAAAAGGAGTTACAAATCAGAAGTTCAGTAATGCTGGCTTTATATTACCTACGTGATTACCTTTACCAGTGTTCTTTATTTCTTACAGCTTCAAGTTACTGTCTATTGTTTTTTCGTTTCAGCCCGAAGGGCTGAGTTTAGTATTTCTTGTAAGACAGGTCTACTAAAAACAAAGTACATTAATCTATTTCCCCCTTACAGTAGTCTCTTAAGACATTTATATATACTATAGCCAAAGAAGTATACATAGATTATCGTCAAATGTTTTTTCTCTCCTGTTGATGGAGTAAAACAGTAAGTCCATGGTGGCTGCCTGAGAATCATCATGGGAACTTAATAATAGGCTTTGATCCTAGATTTGTCGATGTAAGCTCCCCAAGTGATTCTAATGTTCATCCTGATTTGGGATTCATTTTTACTTAGAAATTCAGGTGTCACCTTCAGACACTTTATGTATTAAATGAATATAAAGTAACAAGTAGAAAACAGCAAAAATGGTTTGAGATGTGACTATTTAGCTGAATTACTGGTTACTATGCACACCAGCCTCATAGCATGTGAAATTCAAGAGTTATGTCACAGTAGAATTACATACAAATCTTAGATCTTCTGCATAGCTTGCAAATAGTCAAAATGGCAAGACTGTGCTGTATGCTGGTTTGCTTATCATTGCTGGATATTAATACACGTTGTATCATCTAAATGTTTATTAAATACCTATAGAATGAATCTTCGTGTGCCTCATGAAACTGTCAGCCTTTCTCATATTAAGCTATATGTTCATATTTGTTATTTGAGATATGATTCTATTTGAATTGAATATTATTAACAGGATATTTCTGTTAATCATTAGAGTTTTCTCTGTATTGTACTCTTATTATATTCAGACAACAGAACTTCCCAGTAAGCTATTAAATCCCTTAAGCAAAAGCACCTACAATCAGTCTCTTTACTAAATGAATATGTTTGTCATTTAGGTGCCTGTGGTTCATGCTTGAAGTTCTAATGACAAAGAATGAAAATAACAGCCATGCCTTTATGAAAAAGATGGCAGAGAACATCAAGCTAACAAAAGATGCCCAGTCTCCAGATGAATCCAAGACAAATGAAGTAAGATATATATTAGGCCAGTGGATATTAAGATATTACAGGAAAAAATATTATGACCCTTGTCCCACTTGTTTTCCTAACTATTACATAATAAAATAGATTACAGAACGTTTATTAAAAATATATACTTAGTTTTTATTTTATTTCATTAAATTGAATTCTATTATTTGAAGAACATTTATTACTTTGAAAAAGATATTAAAAATTCTACAGAGCACAGGAATAAGAACTAGTAAAATTTACAACTATGCTGTCTTAAGAACTTTTAGTAAGAGTTACAGACAAGTAGATATTCTTTTTGTATGTTTCCTTTAGTTTGGTTTATTGTTTTTAACACATACTTGGCATTCATGTTAAATTAAGATGAAGGGGTCTTTTTTGTTGTTGTTTACTAGGAGGCTACATAAGAAGAAATGCCAAATACAAATGCAGAATGTTCAAGGAATAAATAATAACCCCATATTATTGTTTTGATTTGATTTTATATATTGGTTAGAATTGGTACTTGTGGTTATTTTTCACTACTGAAAGGTATATGTGATTTTTTTTTTTCCTCCCTAGAAACTTTATACAGTGTGTGATGTGGCCCTGTGTGTTATAAATAGTAAAAGTGCTTTGTGCAATGCAGATTCACCAAAGGATCCGGTCCTTCCAATGAAATTTTTTACACAACCTGAAAAGGTAATTTTCTTCCCTTCATTTTTCTACCATACTAAACCTATTTAAATTTGTTACCATCAACCCTAGTGGCAAGTATTGGATTGTCTTGACTACAGAGTAAAAAAAAAAAAATACCTCTGAGTTTATCAAGAAATGGGAGATTGTCTTCCAAAGCCTGAAAAATATCATTCTCACCTTACAGAGTAGAGAATACAAATCAAGCTTGGTGGTGGTGTTCCTATGTGAGCTATTCCTTCTGGATAATTCTAATATGTAAGAGGAATTTTCAAATTTCTTAAATTGTTTTCATCTCATTAAAACACTGTTAGTATTTTTTCAGACAAGAAGTAAACAAAATATTTGGTAGAGTATAAATATATATACATCTATATATGAAATAAAATGTTAGAATGAATGGAATTGGTCTTGGCAATTGACAGACCTGGATTCGAATCAACCATTTCTAATTTGAGGGACCTTACACATGTTAACTCTTCTAAGCCTCAGTGTCTTCATCTCTAAAATGCAGATGATGATAATACCTGTGAACAATTACTAATATACCTAGGTTTCTAAGAGTTTGTCACAAAGTAAGCATTTAATAAATGGTATTAAGAATAAATAGTACATTTATTCTGCTGTCAGCAAATGAAGTTTTCCATGTAAGTAAATTTTTCAGCTAACTAAAGCTCTTTAAGTTTTTCCAGCTAATTTGGATTAAGAAACTTTTTCAAAAAGAATGCCTTTTATTTATTACCCACTTTAAGGTGGTATTTTAAAGTTTAAGTTTCCTGTGCTTTGTTTAAAAAAAAAATCCTTAATATTTTTAATTGGAAAAATAAGGCATTTAAAATTTTCAACAAAAATTTTAATCAGACTTTGATTTAGTACTCAGAATTTATTGTGCCTGGTTTTGTTAGGATTAATAAGGATTGCAAAGTTACTTCTGTTCTAATTGAATTTACTGGTCTTTATAAACAGTCCTGAGTGAGCTCTTGAATTTAAATTTACTTTATTGTTGACCCAGGGCTATCATGACTGGAATAGTACCCAAATAGAATCTTCATACATCATCAAGAATTTAAATTGCTGTTTGTCACTACACCTGATTCTAATTGTTTTTTGTTTTGATATTGAAACTTAGAATGTCTTTAGCCTTCTTAATAGTAATTTTGGTTTTTTTCTGTTTTAAATGATTAGCTTTCCTCATTTCCTTTTCTAATATGTTGCTTTTAATATGGTATAAATTCAGACAGGAGAAAACTAGGCATATTAAGATAGCTTAGTGAAGCTATAGTATATCTTCATGTAACATTTATTTTAGCTACATAAAAGCCTTTGTGGGGAAGAAAAAGATACAGCCTTGCCCAGAACACATGCCAAAAGTGTTTATTTCTTTTTATAGGCACATTTAAGCCTTCTGTTCTTTTCTGTGACACTAGTGTGAAGGTAAACTTAATAAAAGAAAAATTTTTTAAGTGCGATTACTTACAAATTAATGAACTTCCAGACGGCAGTAAGTCATTTTGCTTCCGTGAGACCATTGTGGTTTACTCATGTGCTATTCCCAGGATAATTAACAGATAGAGGCACCATAGGATCAAACTGAACTCTTATACAGATGTAACTTTCAGAAGTATCATCAGTGTCCACATTTGGTTTAATTCATTTATTAACTGGTTAATATCACTGCAGCCAAAGAACATTATAATTGACTTAATTAGATTTTGATGGTGTATTTACCTTTATGATTTGGACAGTCTACTTATGGTTCTAGGAAACAAAACATTTTTAATTAAAGTAACAGATTTTTTTTCAGTAAGGATAATTTTCTTGAGATTCTGTGTGGGGTTCTTTTAGTGAATATTAAGTGCCTGATATATGCATAGTACCATTTTGGATGCTTTGGGAGCCCCAAAGAAGTAAATTTTAGGGACTTCCCTGGCAGTCCAGAGCCTAAGACTCCGTGCTTCCACTGCAGGAGGTGTGGCTTCAGTCCCTGGTCAGGGAACTAAGATCCCGTGTGCCATGTGGTGTGGCCAAATAAATTTTTTTAAAAAGTAAATTTTACAATAGAGTGGAGAACATAGTTCATTGAATAAACTGGAGACTGTTTGCCCTGAACCATATGAAAGAATAGAAGTGTGTTTTATTTAAAATGTGATTTAAGGGAATTCCCTGGCATTCCAGTGGTTAGGACTCCGTGCTTTCACTGACTATGGCCTGGATTCAATTCCTGGTCAGGGAACTAGGCTCCTGCAAGCCACATGGTGCTGCCAAAAAAAAAAAATGTGATTTAAGTAATTTATATCTGACATTTGACTAAGTCTTGTGTGTCACTGAGTTAATTTTAAAACTAGACTTATGGTATGGTTCATGAAACATGCTTTGATGGTTTGATATGTTTCTTAGCGCAAATGAAACTGTTATTGTAAAGCAGAATGCCTTGAAGTCTTGTATGGACAATAAAAATATGTTACTTTTTTTTGTTTGTTTTGATAGGACTTCTGTAATGACAAGAGTTATATTTCAGAAGAGACAAGAGTACTTCTGTTAACAGGAAAGGTATTATGTACTAGATAATTGGGGGATCTTTATCTCATGTGCATATTACTTCTGCTATTCTTAGAAATAACCTTTAAATGTCCCTCAGATTTTATAGTTCCTGATTCTTAGGGATCATGTTGTGGATTATAGCATCTAAAACATTTGTTCTCTCAGGCTTTTTTTTTTTGCCATGAACCACTTTAGAATTACAACCATGTGTTCTCACCAGTACTGACAGGCTTCAAGTTATTTAGAATTTACAAAGCAGATTTCCCTGAAAAATGGTATAATAAATTTAGATGTGTAAGATAAAGATAATTTTAAAGTACTAATAAGTTAGACAGTTTATATTCTATAAAGGTAATATGACATCTAAAAGAGCAAAGGAAAATTTAATATTTGATAAACAGTTTCTAAACTATTGCTATATATACTCAGTAGTTTACCTGTAAGACATTTTATTATGTCTTAATTATTATGTATTTCACTATGTTTTAGGGACACTTTTTGTTTTGAATAATTAAATATTGCATAGTTATTTTTAAGTAGAGGTAATGCTTTTGATTTGTAATTATGTTTAGATATAGTTTTACAGAATTATCATTTCTAATAAATTTAGGATTTAACTTTCCAAAGCAACAACAATTCCTGGCCGTAAGCGAAACAGTATCCTTTACATGTGTCTAAATTTGCATGTATTCCTTTCAGTAAGGTATAAAATAACATGCGTATATGTAATTTTTAGCCAAAACCTGCTGGAGTACTAGGTGCGGTAAACAAGCCTTTATCAGCAACGGGAAGGAAACCATATGTTAGAAGCACTGGAGCTGAGACTGGAAGCAATATTAATGTAAATTCAGAGCTGAACCCTTCCACTGGAAATCGATCAAGGCAATTTTTTTCTCCAATTGTTTTTGTTACTATCACTCACTACTTGGTTCATCTTTCAGTTTCTTTTCTTAAAGCACTGTATCACAAAAATGGACTTTAGGAAACATCTTAGTAAAAAGCAGTAGTGCTAAATTTTAGTATAATTAATGATGGAAATTGAGAGTGTACTACACATTTTGAAACTGTTTAGCATTCTAAATGTGTAGAAAAGTTAAATGGAAAAACTTAAGAATTAGTAATGTACTACAACTAATTTACATGGAAGTGTGTGTCTGTGTTTAAATTTAACACTTAGGAGAACTGAAAATGTAACTCTTTAAATTTAATTTATATGCTTTTTAATTTTTAACTCAAAATTAGTATAGCATGAGTAGAGATAACATTGTTAATAACATTTTCCACTTATTAAAGATTCCATGTTTGGGACTTCCCTGGTGGTCCGGTGGCTAAGACTCTGTGCTCCCAATGCAGGGGGCCCAGGTTCGATCCCTTGTCAGGGAACTAGATCCCACATGCCACAACTAAGTTTGCATGCCACAACAAAGATCCTGCATGCCACAACTAAGACCTGACACAGCCAAATAAATAAATATTTTTTTAAAAGATTCCATGTTTAACATGTCAAGTGTTTACTGTCTTAGCAACTGCATAAAAATTTCCATCTGACCCTACTCTTAGCAACCCTAAGTATTGAGGCTTTTAAAGATTTTATTCTAATTCATGAAATTTTAAGCATAAATTCAGTGGTGGTGTTTTAAACACATTTTTAGCAGTAGAATCCCAAAATATTAAAAAATTAACATGGAACATCTGTTGTTTATATAGATGGTGGGGGTCAGACACCTCCCCTATGGCCTCTTCTTGCAGCCCCTTCCCTTGCAGAGCATTAAGAACACAGACTGGAGAAAGCTATACTCTACGCTCATCTGTTGTATTTTTGCTTTGTTTTAGGGTTTTCCAGCCCCCAGAAGATAGGCTTATAGAATAGTTGTGTTGTTTGTTGCTTGTCAACTACGCTTTCTATCTGGTGGTTTTAGGCAGTCATTTCTGTCTTACATTAGTAAGGTAAGATGGAAATCCAAAACTTGATATAGTAGAGCAGTAGTCTGTAACCGCAGAAGATATGAGTCTTGTTAAGGTTACTTCACTTGGCCGGGCTTCTAAATCAGCCTAAGCCTCTTTCCTTATTGGTATAGTGAGAGTACACTTCCTATTCATATGGTGAAATAAAGAAGCTTTGGTTTATTTCTCTTCAACAGGGAACAGAGTTCAGAGGCAGCAGAAACTGGAGTTAGTGAAAATGAAGAGAACCCTGTGAGAATTATTTCTGTGACACCTGTAAAGAATATTGACCCAGTAAAGAATAAGGTAAATTTAACAAGTGGGTTTTTCCCATGGAGATTCTTATTACAATTTTATGATGGGGTAAGAAACCCACGGTCTACACATTAGTATATACTACATACTATACCTGTGTGTATACCACCCCCTGCTATACTTACTGGGCTTCCACTCTACAGAAGTGATTCTATGTCCACTCTCTTCATTTACCAGAGTTTGTGTGGTCACCTTCTCCCACCCTACTTCTCCCAATACCTTGAAAGAATAGGAACTGAAGTGTTTTGAGATCTTGTTTTCAAAACTTTATTGACTCCTACCAGGGATCAACACTGTTTCTGTTGTTGTTGAGTTAAACTTAATGAGCTGACCTTTTAAAATATGTTTGAGTTTTTATTTAATAGCTGCATTCTTTGATGGTGTATCTTTTAACTGTGGCCACCGATATTCTTAACAGTTTTTTGGCAGGGCAGAAAGGAGTATAACATTGGTAGGAGGATAACTTTCCTCAGTAAGAATGACCTAATACTATTATTTTTTTCTGTAGAATCATGTTCTTGACATACTTTTTTTTACCCCCCATATATTTATGGTATTATCAGATGTTTTAAGAGTTATCCTCAGGTACATAAAATATGGGACTATACAGTTATTCCACAGTAGCTGAACTTTTCCTATCCAAAATTATTATCTGAATTCAAACTGAATAGGTAAGGATACATTTTTTAGGTCAGTCTCTATCCATACTCTTGCTGTTTGCTATCTGAACTTCAGTATGTCAGTTAATTCAGGTAACAGGGAACCTCTCACTTTCAAAACTCTTAGAATTCAGAAACCAGTAGATTTAGATATTGTGGGATCCTTCTATAGAATTAAACATTGAACGTAATCATGCTTAGGTGCAGATATGCATATTGCCACAGATACTTAAACATGCTTATAATATGTATTAAGAGGTGGTACAGGGATGCAAATGTTTATCTAGTACAAACATCTATCTATAACCTTTTCAACCTCTGCTATAGAATTGTATAGAAGATAAATTTGGACATTTAAATTTTAATTTCTGAGGGGCCAAAATATTACTTATCTTGATCTGTAATATTATATTGTTCCAAACACTGTTTAACTTTTTCATACTTCCAAAGAATGTTTAACAGATTCATTGTTGCCTGAAGAGACAGGGGTTGTATTTTGACAAAAGCCTGATAGCTTCCCAGTCAGATCTCACATAAGTTGATATGGTCATTTCTTTCCAGGGTCTGGTTCTCAGTCTTGCAGGCTCAAAACACTATCTTGTTGTACTGAAAGAAGATAAAGATCTAAGAGAGTGTTTCTTGGTAACCAATTTCTCAAAGAGATTGATGCATAAACCAATTTATTAGTTATGTATATAAAAGTTATCCAGCAAATTGTATATCCATGTTTACAAATCAGAACATTTTCTCCTATTATTTACTCTGTGAGCAAAATCAAATGGTAATATGAAGAATGAATAAGGGAGGTGGTTAAAAGAAGAAATAACACATTAACATTCCGTGGAGCAGGCAGGCAGGCAATACCACCAGTGTTGCCCTTTAGAGTCTTCTATTTCTTCATGCCTACAGCTGACAACTGATTTCCTCTTCATTTGGCTTTTGCATGAGTTCTTTATACATATGCACATATACATAATGTTCATAAATGTGTAAATGTGATCATGTGCATGACTTTTAATAGTCTTTTTTCCCCTTTTAAACAGCCTTATCTGTGTTCAATTTTTTCTCTACAGTGTTATCATTTTCATGTTTGTATACACATAAATACTTCCTTTCCCTGTTCTTTGTCACTACAATGTTGCATTAAATTTACTGGTGATTTTATTTCTAGGGGCTAATAAGTTCTAGTAGTGGGAATGCCAGGTCAAGGAGTAAATATACGAGAGATTTTAGATATTTTCATATTGTTTTCTTCGAAAATTAGAACACTTGACATTTCTACCAGCAGGGTACTTTTTCTCTATATATCCACTAACAACAGGTTTTATAGTTCTTTTGAATTTTTTCAGTTTAAAGTATCAAAACTAATGCCCCACTATTGTTTTAATTTATATTTCTCTGATGATCAGTATTTTTGTTGACCATTTGGATGTACTCTTGTGTGAACTGCCTGCTCATATTTGCCCGTTTTAAAATTATCTTTTTCTTGTTTAACTCAACTTTTTTTTTTTTGGCCATGCCATGCGCCTTGCAGGAAATTCACCAACCAGGGATTGAACCCAGGCCATGGTAGTGAAAGCCTGGAATCCTAACCACTAGGCCACCAGGGAACTCCCTAACTCAACGTCTGATACTGTAGTAGTTCTACCTTCTTGTTAACATTCTTGCTCCCTTCCAATCTCATCACCAAATATAGCAGCCAGTGTGATCTTTTTAAAATATAATCTGGATTATGATTGTCCTCTGTTTAAAGTCCATCAATGACTTTTATTACCACTTAGAATAAAATCAGATTTCTTACATGTCCCATAAGGCATTCATGATCTGGCCCATGCCTGCTTCTCCTACCTTATACCAGTCTCACATCACTTCAGGTTCCTTCAATCTTCCAAGCTCTTTCCTTCTTCAGGTACTTATGCTGCCTCTTCCATCTGTCTAAAATACTTCACTTTTCATGTGATAAGTCCTGCTTTGATATTATTTAATATTCCCCAGAAGAACCAATGAGAAATTGATGCTTCCTCTGGTTTTTTTTTTTTCTGAATGCCCTTTTCTTTAATCTCTTAGCACTTAGGGTAATGTGTACTTAAATGTTTGTTTACTCTTTAAAAAATTAGTCACCTACTATGCTAATCTGTTTGAGGACAGGAAAAATAACAGTTTTGTTCCCCAATCTGTGCCCAGCAGCCACTGCACCTAACAGGCATTCAGTTGAATGGTTTCTGCTTCAAGTTTAACCACACTTAGTTGTTTTTATTGACCCTTCTTATTTTGCCCAGGAATCTCCATCTTTCTCCAGGGTGCCTTCGCATATCTTTTCTCTGATCCATTTTGTATTGTTTTACAGTTTAAATCCTGTGGACCACCTTACTCTTGTTCCCTCATGATGATTTTTGTAACACGACTCTCCACATCCCAAGAGGGTGAAAGAAGTAGGAGTCATTCTCATTAGCTCATCGTCCTGGAAGGATGAATTTAAGTCTAGCTGCCCATGTTAAAGGCTCTGATACTGTCTGTTAAGATAGGGTTTATTTTAATGTTAATCCTCAACGTGAAACACTGATTTGTGGATTTTCTAACTTAAGACACTACTTTCACGAGTTTTCATTTAAGTAAATTTTCTTGAAATGTGAAAGATTTATGTGTTTCCCTGGTCACTGAAAACATTTTTCTGGGAAATGAAAATTAATTAGTTAATTAATTGAAAAGATAAAGTCATTTTTTGGGTGAGGATAGTGTTCCTGTTTCCCTTGAATCAATTAAAATTATTATAATTGACTCCTAAATATCATACATACAAAGGTCACTTTCATTCTGAAAACTATTATTCCTCCTAATGTCCATTATGTCTCATATTAAAATGGAATTTTATTACTTTGAACATTTTAGATGATAATATGTAATATATATGCCAGACAAAGGAAAAAAGAGAATGTTCAGAAAAAAGTAGAAGGTTAATTAATGATTGATAAAGAAGAGACAAAAGTTAGAATGAATTGAGTGGAGTGAGATATTAAAGAACTTTGTGTCACAGAACTACAAAGATTATTATAGTTAGATGCATCATAGAGAAAGAAAATAACATTGAATTATGGAAACATCCCCCCCTCTTTTGAAAAGTGATACATTAAGAGCATACCACAATAAAAAGGACCTTTTCATTTAAAATGGCTGTGAAAGCAAAACTGAGTAGGTTTTCTCTTATATAACTGCCTATGCACTTTAGTAAGCATTTATTGAGTATATGCAAAGCACTATGGTAGGCACCTCATTCAGTCCTTACCCTTGAGGAGTTTACATTCTTCATGGGATGTAAGCAGTTAATCAGAAGCCCTGGAATTCCAACTCTTCTAAAACACTTGCAGAGGGCTTCCCTGGTGGCGCAGTGGTTGAGAGTCCACCTGCCAATGCAGGGGAAATGGGTTCATGCCCGGTCCGGGAAGATCCCACATGCCGCGGAGCAGCTGGGCCCGTGAGCCATGGCCGCTGAGCCTGCGCCCCGCAATCGGAGAGGCCACAACAGTGAGAAGCCCGCGTACCGCAAAAAAAAAAAAAAACACTTGCAGAATGCTTCTTTCTAGTATAGACCAGTGATATTTAAGGAATGTATGTTAATATATAATTGTTTTCTGCTCTTTTAGGAGATTAATTCTGATCAGGCTGCCCAGGGCAACATCAGCAGTGACCGAGGAAAGAAAAGAACAGTAACAGCAGCTGGTGCAGAGAATATCCAACAAAAAACAGATGAGAAAGTAGATGAATCAGGACCACCTGCCCCTTCAAAACCCAGGAGAGGACGTCGACCCAAGTCTGAATCTCAGGGCAATGCAACCAGAAATGATGATATAAATAAACCTCTTAGCAAGGGAAGAAAGAGAGCCGCAGTCAATCAGGAAAGCCCTGGAGGTTTGGAAGCAGGTAATGCCAAAGCACCCAAACTGCAAGACATAGCCAAAAAGGCAGCACCAGCAGAGAGACAAATTGACTTACAAAGGTAACGTACACCATTCTTTCTGAACTTTGAATTTAGACATCTTGTTTTAATCCTAGTTGCCAGTCACCCCCAAACACCTAGGCATTTGGGAGTGAAAACTGCCCCTGGTTTTCCTAAGTTATGGTGGCATTTGCTTTTGTCTCATAACTTTCAGGACAACAATTTGAAGAAAGATCTCCTTCTTTTCTTTGGTTAATTTTTAATTAGGATATGGTTTTTGATGTTTATTAGCAAGGATAACATTGTCTTGGCCTCCCTCACATAGTTGCATGGGGTTTTCTAAATATAAACTGCTACCTTTTTGATACAAAGATCCCAGAGTGGAATAGATAGATGTCATGGCATGCTCTTTACTTCCACTTGTTACAGCAAATTTTAATATAAGTCAGCAACTTACCTCTCCCCCACCCTCCCCAATGGGAGTAACCTCACAGCTACTCATCTTTGATCATGTTTGTGTTGGGATTTCAGATTTTCCACACGGTAACAATGGTGCCCCAATTGGAGATCTAGATGTTGGCTCCTTACTTGGTCTACAATTAGAACTTAGCTCTACACTGCTTCTTTTTCCTTATATACCTATACTTAATTCATCTCCCCCCTGAATTAGATTGTAAGATTCTGAGTTCCTTCTAGGAAAGAACCAGCTCTGATCATGTCAGGACACCCTCACTGTCCTGCTTCAATATTTTTATAAAGTACAGTGTTGCTAAGGCATACGTGTTTGTAAGTACATTTTTAAAAATTACCATTTTTGAAATTTGGAAGTTTGAGGCTACTAAATTTTCTTACATTTTAAGTGCCTCTGAGTACCTTTTTCAACATCTCATGGCAGCTGATCCAGGCCCAAACCTGACTAAGTAATGGGTGTTTCTTCTACTTAGTCACTTCTACTTTTATGGACTAAAAGTGTAGTAAGGAAAGCCAGTATTGGCAAGTTTATTATTTTTCTCCTCAAACCTGGACCTTTGACCTGGAACAACATACTTTAACCTCGGCCTCCTTTTCTTCATCATTAAGGCAGTATGATAATACCTTCCTCAAAGGACTGTTCCAAGAATTAAATGGTCATTAAATATAAAGCACTTAACAAAATGCCTTGTACAGACTAAATGCTCAGTAATTATTTTAACCATTGTTTTGAATTCTAGTTGCTTTACCTCTTAATATAATTTTAGTTATACAAAAGCTGAACAGATTTCGTTGGAGATTGCCAGACTTCTCTTAAGGGTTTCTAGAATTCTAGCCATTCCTCACCCACATAAAATAGTACTGATCATCACACCCAGGCCACCTGAGCCACCTGACCTTACCTCTCATGTGCTGTCCTTTTGACATCTAACCAAAATATGCAGGCACTTACTTGGACCCTGAAAACGTTTTCAGTAGCAGCCAACCTTGTCTCTGAGCATTGTAAAACCCATTGCTCTGCTTTTAGTTACACCATTTGCCCCAAAAGCATTAAACAAACCAACAAAAATGGCTTACATGCCAGAGACTGATCTTGATTAAAAATGGCCTTGGGCCTTTTTAAAACTCTTAAAATAAGTCTTAAGTATGCCCGTTAGTAGATCAGTTGGGCAATGTGTTATCCAAAATACAGAATTCTTTGATGGTTTTATATTCTCAGTGAAGTTAGACGGTTAAGTTTGGTGTTCATGATAACACTGTACTTCAGTAAAACAGATCAAAGATTTTGCGCACATATTTCAGAAACTTCTGGTTGAATTATTGACTACTAATTCGTGGCTAACAAAACATAGGACATTCTGAAACTTTCTCCCAAGCTTCCTTTTGTCTTTTCCATTCTTTCCTGAATCTAATATACAACTCTGCCCTTAAATTCTAGCATTATGACTTCGGCTTGGAAACCTAACTTACTCCAGAAATTCTGTATTACTCATGATAGCCTCTCGCATAGGATTGAATGCATTATAGGCACATGAGTATTGTTCCTTATACTTCTCATTTGTTCTTCTAACAAATACGGACAGATCAAACTGCCAGCATTGCGCTGGGTGTTGGCAGTACAAAAGTACCCAACATGGATAGGTTCTCGCCCTCAAAGAATATATTTCTCCAGCTTATCAATTCCAGAATAGAGCAGAAAACTTCCACTTTAGGTCTGCTGATTGATAAAAGTATAAGAATTATTTTTTTATTACTATGTAAAACAATGAAATTCTGACTTGTGCCACAATATGGACGGGCCTTAAGGACATTATGCTAAGTGAAATAAGCCAGACCCCAAAGGGCAAATACTGTATGACTCCACTTCTATGAGATACGATAGTCAAATTCATAGAGACAGAATGAGGTAGTTGCCAGGGAGAGCGGGAGGAGAGAATAGGCATTACTATTTAATGGGTACAGAGTTTCAGTTGGAAGATGAAAATATTCTAGAGATGAATGGCAGTGATTTATGTTACATATATTTTATTTCACTTAAAAAATTGCTACATAAGATTAATAATAGCTAACACTAATATAATGCTTATTATGAGCCAGGCTCAATTCTAAGCTCTTTGTTAACCTATTAAATGCTTAAAACATCTCTACATGGGTAAGTACTATCATTATCCCCAGTTTATAAAGAGGAGAGAACCAGGAATAGAGTCCATGTAGTTTTTGGTCCCTTTGCTTATATAAATAGTGGAGGCAGCATTAAAACCAGGCAGTATCACTCTGGAGTCCACACTATATTGTACTTTAAGGTAAAATTAAGTCTTAAGTCTACAGGAACTATACCTGCACACAAAACTAGTTTAACAGAGGATGCTTTGAAAATATTTACTTCCATATTTTAAATAGCTAATGTAGTTAATATATGTGGTATTTTCCGTGAAATGGAAAATCTTTGCATATAGTTTATTATTTATAATTATTACATAAGAAGCTAGTTTATTTAAAATAATCGTAGGTTAAACCAAACAACTATAGTCATCTTTTTAACCTATTTCAGAGTTCATGCAAACAAAAGCTAAAGTATTTTAGCTTCAGAGAGGGAAAAAACCAAGAGAGATCAGATGTTCTTGAATTCAAGTGGCAAACTTAAGTGAAGCCCCTAATGCTATAAGAACATTGAAAGACCGTAGTGAATATTAGGTAGAATAATGTATGGGGTATTTGCAATGGTGCTTGGCATATATATTGGTAGAAATAATAGTGATAATAAGGAAAGGTTGTTGAATGTATATTTGCCTTGCCAACAATCATTATGAAGCAAGTACAACCCTATGTTAGAGATAAGGGGGTTAGACCTGAAAAAATTACTTTCTCAGGCCACCTGGCCAGTGCTACACAGAACAGGGTTTTGAATCCAGGCTGTGTCCCTTATTAATCGCCTTACTGTACTGCTAACAGTGGCAGCTGCGGTTATGTTTCTCCTCTGAACTATGAACATTCACAACTCTATTATTTTCTTTTTCTCTTAATGTGTAAAAGGAAATGTTTTAAGGTATAGTAACCACCAAGCGATGGAACAGACAGGCACACTAAAACAAAACTTCCTTGTTTGTGACTCAGCTGTTCTAAATAACTGTCCTTCAACTTGAGGAGAAAACGTTGAATGGTCAAAATCCTGAAGGTGCCAGCTTTATTTTTATTTCATGGGAAACTATATAGCTTTCACCTTCATACAAGATTCTAAACATACTTTTGATTAGCCAAAGGTATTTACCTATGATTGATTTGACATCTCACCTGTATTTTCCTGAGACCTGGTGAGGTCACATGACTGAACAATTCTGAATACAGAGCTAATATAACACCTTGAATCATCCTGTTAAGGTTATCATTACACTTTGAACCATCTCATTAGTAAAAGAAGAAGCAGGGTTGCCAAAGCTGAGAGCCATCAAGCACCGCATTTCTGAGCTAAGGATGAACCCAGAATGGTAGGAACAGCTCACTTATTGCCCTGGCAACTTGAAGCATAGCCTAGAGTCCTTGCATTGTGGAACCAGATCTGGATCTGGATCACTGCACTAAAGTAGTTTACCCCTGGATTTTAAGCTTGAATGCAAGCCTTTGAGAAATAAGGCCCAGCACCCTTGTGCTTCTCTGTGGCCCTGCTTTCTAACACACTTTCATCTGTCTTTTCCTTTACCTTGCATTATTCTTCACACATTTTACTTGCTTGCTTTCTCACTTCCCTGATGGTCAGTTCCTGCGCTGGTCACAACTGTCCCTACATTAACATCTGAAGAGCCTTTCCTGACATTACCCTCCCTTCTTTACTCCATGTGCTCCTTTGTAGATCTGTCTGAATACAAGATGATCTCAAGGCAGTCAGTCTACACTGTATACTAGGACCACCTCCAGAAAACTTGCCCATTTTTATTACTTGGTATTTATACTCATCATATTGTATGATTTCAACTTTATTATTAAATAATTAATGAAAACCATTTTTGAGGCCCTAGTATATTCCAACCACAGTCTAGATGCTTTATGTTTGTAACCTCATTAATCCTTCAGCCCTGTAGAAGTAGGACCCTTGATAAATGGTAGCCTCTACAGTCATTTAAATACCACAGCAATCACTTATGTGTAGCAAGTGCATACCCCTCTAGAATTCCTCTTACTAGGTCCTCTCACTGACATTAGGTAAATAATTTTTAGTATGACTCCTACTTAATATACTTTATTAATTCAAGGATAGATATGTTATTCCACCAAAATACAAAAACTGTACAGAAATTTCCTGGCATAGAATTTACTTAATCTGGCAGTTCATACATTTTAACTTGTAAACTTACCTGTAGGATTTTTAGATCCCTCTGGATTTTTGCAGTAAATCTATTCCATCAGAGGTTTGTGTGTGTGTGTGTGTGTGTGCACGCGTGCACGCACCAATAAATTTTCCTGTTTATATTTTGGGCTGCATTTGGAATTGTTACTTCTTTTCAGAAAATTCCTTGAATTTACCCTGTAAATTTATGAAAATCAGCCATTTGTATACTATAGTCAGGAAATAGTATCTGAACAACTGGACACTTAATG